TTTTTTGCAAATAAAGTATGCTGAGATAGAATATTAAACACTATCCTCAAGTGTTTCAAGTGTTTTACCATGTTCAAGCTGTAGATAAGTATATCATCATAGAAAACCAGGATGAAATCTCTCAAGTGAGACTTAAAAATCTGATTCATAACTGCTTGAAAGGTAGCTGGTGCATTTGTGAGGCCAAAAGGCATCACAACAAACTCATATAGGCTGGAGGCAGTTACAAATGTTGTTTTCGGGATATCCTCTTCATGCATTCTAATTTGGTGGTATCCAGCCCTTAGGTCTATCTTTGAAAAGATAGTTGCTTCCCCTAGCTCATCCAATAAATCATCTACTAAGGGAATCGGGTAGCTATCTTTAATTGTAGTTGCATTGAGTTTCCTATAATCAATGCAAAACCTCCATGAGTCATCCTTCTTTTTAACTAACAGCACAGGCGAGGAATAGGGGCTGTTACTGGGTCTAATAACCCCTGTTTGCAACATCTTATCCATCAATTTTTCAATCTCCCTCCTTTGAAGCTTAGGATACCTATAAGCATGTTGCTTAATAGGTCCTATATTAGGCTTGGTGGGAATTCTATGGTCCATGCTTCTCTTAGGGGGTAAACCAACAGGGACTTCAAATAGATGTTGATACTCTTGAAGCAATGTCGCAATTTCAGTATCACAAACAGATGCCTCCACTGTTGTTGCCCATAAATAATGCATAAGAAACCCCCAGTGTCTTCCATTTCCAGCTCCCTACTAAATTGGTTCATAGTTAGCATGCTTAATGCAATCCCAGGCTGGATTCCTTGGAGTTTAACCATATTCCCTTTAAAACAAAACTGAAATGTATGCTCTGCAAAATCCATGGTCACCTTTCCAAACTGACTTAGCAAGTCCACTCCAATAACCATGTCACAGCCCCCTAATTTCAACAATCTCACTGGAGCACTGAACCTGTGGCCCCCCATTTCCCAGGCAAACATAGGGCACTTAGATCTGCATTCTACCTTGTTCCCATTGGCAATGCTTATCAACCAAGGATTAGTAAACTCCATTGTGCATCCCAACTTTGAGGTTGTTTTTGGGTCCAAAAAAGTGTGAGTGCTGTCTGAGTCTAGCAAAATAACCAGTTCATAGTTCTTGGACTTTCCTAACAACTTAATGGTGTTGGAAAGGACCTGACCAGCCACAGCATTCAAAGAGATTTGGGGTTCCTCCACCCCTTGGCATTCTCTCAATTCCAAAGTTCCAATGTCGGTCTCACTTTCCCCATCATCTTCTCCCATGATCAAATATACTCTTTTGCACTTGTGTCCTATATGGAACACCTCATCACAATTGAAACACAAATTTTTTTCTCTTCTAGCCTTCATTTCCTTGGGGGACAGCCTTCGAATATGAGGTAATTTTGGTTTAGCAACATCTGAACAAATTTTAGTTACCAGCATTGTTGGTTAATGGTTGCTACCCCTGTTCAATCCTCTCTGTCCCTTAGTGAGAAGATTCACAATATCTTCACTTTGGATGGCCAATTGAATAGCATTCCTCAAAGTGTTGGGCTTCTGCATTGTCACGAACTTTCCAATCTCCTCCCTTAATCCGCCAATGAAGCTTTCTACAAAATACTTTTCCCTCAAAGCTTTATTATCCTCTCTTAATAAGGCTCTCATTTCTTCAAACTCCTGGACATAATTCTGCACAGTAGCGTTTTGCCTCAATTTATTAAATTGAGCAACTAGACTTCCTCAAGCTGGATTCAGAAACCTTTCCAACACTAGTGCAGAGAATTCAGCCCATGACAAATTGATATCCTCCTCAATATAGTCCACAAACCAACTATCTGCTATTCCTTCCAAATTCATAGCAACAAGGCTGAGTTTGTCATAATCAGACACTGGATTGTAAGCAAAATACCTAGTGCACTTCCTAAGCCACAGCCTGGGGTTATCTCCATTAAATTTTGGAAAATCCAATCGTAATTTATTATTATGCAAAGTGGAGTGAGCTTCATTTAACCTAGTCATGGGAGTTGGAGACAGTATTCCCCTTCCTTCCTTAGGTTTAACACCAGAGTCGAGAGCAATATGTGAAATATGAGGATCTAGAGGCTCCTTACCTCTGAATAAAGGTCCACCTTGTTGTTCCTTCATGAAATTCAGAAATTAAGTCTTCAACAAATCTCCTAGACTCTCCAACTTCGCATCTAGCTTAGATTCAGCCTAGCTTCCATTTGAATCTGGCCTTGGATTATAGCAGTTTGGCCGTCTACAACCTCTGCTACTTGCTGTTCCAGAACATCTAACCTTTGTGTTTGAGATCGCGTCATCTAGAGAGAGAGCAACGAAATTTGGCTCGGATACCAAATTGTCACGTCTCCAGCCTGAGCGCGCGAGAGATCAGAGGGATTGTGGAAGAATAAGACAGCGTGCAAGGGATCAGAGGGATTGGGGAAGAAGAAGACAGGTAATTCAGTTAGATTTTTCATTGCCCTCAAAATTGGTTCAATACAGGTATTTGTATACCCTAAATTGCAAACTTAGGAAGAAGCGCTTTCACGCTTTTACAAGTTAACGCTTTTATTAATATTTGTCTTCTTCTCCTTCTTCATTTCTTCGTGACAGGCACGCAGCGGTTGGGCTCGGCGGAGAGCAGTTTGGTCTGGACTGGGCGGACCAGTTCACGGCAAGGAAAAGACGGTTCGGTGCAGTGGCGTGGAGTCGCAAGGGGCGCTGGTGTTGTAGTCATCGCTGGCTGGCTCGGTGGCGTCTGGAAGGAGTTGCGGCGGAGATCGACGGAAGGCGTCCGGCATGGATGGAGTCTGGGCAAAGGAGAACCGGTGAAGGATTGGAGAAGAGGAAGAGGAAGAAGGGAGGAAGAAGAATGAGGAGAAAGAAGGAGGAGAAGAAGAAGAAGAAGATAGGAGGAGGTGCAGACGGCGTTTGGTTCGACGGAGGGCGAGAAAAGAAGAAGAGAAATAGAGAGAGGGGGAGAGAGATTTAAAATTATTTATTTATTTATTTATTTTTATTTTGGGATTTAGTATTAAAATTGGAAAGGAAAGAGAAGAGGCAGTGTGATAGGTAGTGTTTTATCATGGTCATGACCAAATACTATATTTTATTTTAGAAATTGGTTGAGTGAAAAAAAAAAAACAGTATGCGATGTGCCAATTAGTTATGACCATGACTAAAAGTCATCTCTTGCGCCTTTTCCAAGAGCCAATAATTATTTTTCCAAAAGGCTTGCACCATACCAAACAAAACCATCCAAAGTGTTATTAGCATTAAAATAATAAAAGAAAAAACAAAGATTAAAATTAAGGAAAACAATTAAATAATTTGGGTTGTCTCCCAAAAAGGGTTTTTCTTTATAGTCTTTGAGCTAGACTTCGTCACGCATCAATTCGGAACATCAAAATCGGAAACGGGTGCCGAGTTTATAGGATCAAGTGAGGGTCCCTCGTGGTGTAATTTGAAGCGATGTCTATTGGCCCCATACTTTTTCTTCACCTTAAAATTTTGATTCTCCCTATGGCACTTTTTTGCGGCCAACAATGGTGATCCCTTGGGAATCCATCTCAACTTTTCGACAATCATTTGTTTTTCTCTTACTCGTCATCTTGTCAGTTGGTCTTTTCTCTAACTGTTTTGTCAACACAGTTCTTTGTTTATTCTCATTACCAACTTCATCTGTTTCCTGTACCACATAATTAATAAAATTAATTGCATATAATGATTCAAATTCAACAAGACATTTGATGGGATTAAAAATATTGAAATGAAATTCTTCTCCATCAAACTCCAAGCTGAGTGTGCCCTTTTTAACATCTATCTTCACTCCTACAGTGCACATAAAAGGTTTTACTGGATCACCTGTTTTAGGTGATACCTTTCTTTTGAAAACAGCATGTTCTCATCCGCTATAATGTACTCATCCCCTCGCAATTTTCTCTTATTGGTGCACAGCTCTTTATAATATTTTGTATACTTTGGGATTTGGTTGATAGCTTCTAGGAGCGGGATATTAAGTTCCATTTTCTTGAATATCTCCATAATCTCTTTTTGCTTATTTTCCTTTTGTGGTTTCTTCAACTTGTCAAGGAAAGGAGCCGATTTAGTTTCAGTAGGAAGAACATAATTAGGATGTACCTTTTCGTGGATCTCTACTTCCTTTTCAATCTCATTTTCAATTTCCTCTTCACTTTGCTCTTTTTAGATGGTAGTTAGACCATCCACTTGCTTCCCACTACAGAGTGTTATAGCACTCGTATTCTTTGAATTAGGTCGGGAAAGACATTCAACCATCGTATCACTACATATAGTGATGGCACTGACATTCACTGGATTTGGCTCAGGCTGAGTGGACCAAATTCCTCTTTCACGTAGTTGTCTTACCTCCTCTGATATTTGATTGATCTGACCTTGTAATTTGTCAACTGTCGATCTCATCTCTTGTTGGAACTTTTTCGTCTCTTGTTGGAACTGCAGGGTAGTGGTAGCCATAGACTTCACCAAGTCTTCCAAAGACGGACTGGAGTTCCTTGTGGGTGCTTGGGACGGCTGTTTCTCATAGAAATGAGGTTGTTGTAACTGCTGCGTAGCTCCGAATGGGTGAAAAGCATTACTCTGATGTGCGTTTACATAGCGCAGGTTCGGATGATCTCTCCAGCCTGGATTGTAGGTGTTGGAGTACGGGTTATACACTGGAGGTCCATTCACACCATAGTTTGCAGCATTTACATCCACTGCATAGCCTTCTTGGAGGGTTGGGCATGCATAAAGTTGTTGCTGGATCGATTGGATAAAATGGTCGATACTGTTTCCACTTGTGTGTCCAACATCCCTCGAGCCAAACTATTGTGTGTTCTCAACCATCCTCGCAATAAGATCTCAAGCTTGTGCTGGCGTCTTATTTACTAGAGCTCCACCACTTGCGGCATCGATGATGTTCCTGTCCATCAATTACAAACCATCATAAAAATATTGAATCAATAATTGATGGGGAATTTCATGTTGTGGACATTTAATGACAAGCTTATTAAATCGTTCCCAATATTCATAGAGTATTTCATCTAATTATTGTTTGATGCCACATATTTCCTTCTTCAGAATCGCAACTCTGGAAGCTGGAAAGTACTTCTCAAAAAATTTCTTTTTTCATGCCGTTCCATGTGTCGATGCTTCCAGGTGAGAGATAGCAAAGCCAATCTTTTGCAGCATCTTTGAGTGAGAATTGGAAGACTCTGAGTTTGATCTGTTCGTCAGTAATACCTGGTGGTTTTATGATGGAGCACACCACGTTAAACTCTTGCAAGTGTTTGTGAGGTTCTTCGCCTACAAGTCCATGAACTTTTCGCAGCTTTCGCTCAACCTTCTCGATCTCAAGATTAAATATCAGTTCACCTGTACGAGAAGAACGAGGCATAAACAAGAGGATAAATGAAAATAACACAAAAGAGTAAAAAAAAAAAAAACGTCAATCCCCGGCAATGGCGCAAAAAATTGACCTGTCGCGCGGTCAATCAAATATTTCACATATTCCGTGATCACAATTTAATGTAATACAAGGGAAAGGGATCGTCTCCACAGAGATTGTGTGATTCACTTTTTCGTGTTCTAATGTAGTAAATAAATGGGAGAATTTTCTTTTATTATCTAATGAAAACAAAATAACAAAACAATTAAATTAACGGAGAACTAGCTATAAAAGAGATGTCTGGTTCAAGGGATGATGCAGTTATGACACTTGTGTTTTATCATTGATACAATAAAGTTAGTTCTTATTAAAGTATCAATAAATTGGTTATAGTTATCAATAAGCTCTGACAACCAATTTTTCCTTACTGTGTAGGTAATTAAGGTACAACCGTTAACTACCCCTAATTAAGATAATAAACCTAGGTGCACCCATAAGATGAGCAATTAGAATTGATTGTCTAACCCCTGGGAAGGAACTATTCAACCCGATTGCCACCTATTCAACTGCGAATACAATTATGGATATCCTACCTAAATTGACTTTAGATTATCAAACTAATTTAAATATCGGTATCAATTTAATAATCACAATCATTATTTCAGGATTAAACAAAATTGATAATAAAAAGAAATTTTATAAAGAAAATCAATAATCTCCAAAACATAAGAACTAAAATATTATCATCCCCCAAACAAAAAAAATATCTACTCCATAATCAAATAACAAAGAACAATAGAGAAAGATAAAGTCATAGTGGGAGGAGAAATTTTCTCTGTCGATTTGCTCCTGCGCGATTTATGATTCTGTCAGTCTCCGGCTCTTGTGTGTATCTTCTCTGGCCGTTCTCTCTTTCTTTCCGTGTGACTCCACCTCTTTTTATTTATTTTTTGCGCTAATTATTTTGTAGTTGGGCTTTTGGGCTTTTAATTAAATTCCCATGTCAGGAGGGTATAGTTAGTCATGGTCATGACTAACTAGGTGGTGCAAATCTGAATTTTTATTTACTTTTTATGCCAATTACGCCAAATTTGATATTTGTCCTCTGCACACAGCAAATAAACACATATAAATTAGGTAGAACCCAATCAAAATAAATCAAATATCGCATATAATATGAACATTTAGCACATGCGATTTCTAACTATCAATGACTCCACCAGAGCTGAAAACCACATGACTCCACCGAAACCGAAAACGAGATGGCCGAAAACGAGATGACTTCACTGGAGCAAAAAAGGACATGACTCTACCGAAGCCGAAAACAACATGACTCCACCGGAGCCTAAAACGACATGACTCCGCCGAAGCCCCGAAAACGACATGACTCCACCGGAGCCGAAAATAAGATGACTCTACCGGAGCCTAAAACGACATGACTCCACTGGAGCCGAAAACAAGTTAACTCTCCACCAGAGCCGAAAACAACATGATTCTCTACTGAAGTTGAAAACGACGTGAGTACTCTCCACAAGGTCGGAAATAACGGGACTCTCATTGCAATAAAAAATATGGCTTTGGAGAAACGAAGTAGACAGATCGCAGAATCGCAGACAGATGTGCAGACATGACTTCAATCGTAGACAAACTCAGGACTCAAGATAAAATCAAAATCAGAAAAAGAAAGGGCTAGAAACTATAGAAAAAATTTCAAAATTGGGAGACCTCCGGGTACATCCCAGGTTGAATGTACCCGGAGAAACGCGGGTTGGTAGGCTATATCTACGGCATGAGAAAAGTAGACTCTGATACCATGATAGAAATTTTGGAGGAAAAATAAAAAATTGTCTTATTAATTATCAAAATAAAGGACCTATATATAGACAATGCAAAACAGACTCGATAGACTCAAATCTAAGTAATCTAATCTATGGATAAAATCAAATCTACATATAAATTTATTAAATCTAAACTGAATATCTAAAATATCTCAAAACTCACTGAGAGGGAAATGAAACTTATTATTGGATAGAATTTTGTTTGAGAAGAAGAGTATTGTGGGGTAGTCTTTTGCTTGATGCCCATTGCAAATTGTGCCTATAATTTTTCTTTCATTTATAGATATTTTTTTTCAAAACTCACTGAGAGGAAAATGAAACTTATTATTGGATAAAATTTTGTTTGAGAAGAAAGAGTATTGTGGGGTAGTCTTTTGCCTGATGCCCTTTGCAAATTATGCCTATAATTTTTCTTTCATTTATAGATATTTTTTTTTCAAAACATATAAACAAATGTATATATAGAATATATAAAGGTAAATGTTTTGAAAGGGTAAGTAGAGTAGGAAGTGTTTGTGGGTTATCTAATACTTATCGTTTATATTATATATTTAGCGACGATTTTGTTTCACCACGTGTCAATACAGTTTTCTTTTTTATATTCTTTTGTGGGGCCCACCACTTACTGTAAGAGGTGGGATGCATGGCGGCTTAAGAAGAATACTAATAATATTATTTACTTTATTTTTTTAATTATTTATTTAATGTGTTCGTTTTTTTTTTTAAATTCGTTTTTTTTAAAAAAAAAATATATATTTGTTTGGTGTGAGACTTATTTTTCAAGTTTATTGCATATTGTCTTTTGTTAAATGAGAAATTATATATTGAGAATTGTATTGGAAAAAAATGGATAAAATTTTAATTATCTCGTGTGATGGTGAAGTATGAGTATTTATAAAAAAAAAATTAATAAAATGATTAATTTGTAATTGGACAATTTAAAATAAAAATATATATACATTTTGACAAAACGGAGGGAGTATTGAAAATCAATTTTATATTCAAAATCTTACATCAACATTTAATTGTATCATATTATATAATTATTTTAATTCAAATTTTTATTGAATAATATATTTGTTTGGTGTGAGGCCCATTTTTTAGGTTTTTTATGTGAACTATAAGAAATAAAAAATATATATATTTTATGCTAAATATTGATTTTTATGAAATGATAAATTATATATATAGATAATTGTATTGAAAAAAGAAGGAAGAACAAATCTTTCATTTTAAATATCTTATGCGACGATAAAATAAGGGTACATGTGAATAAAAAAAAAAGTGGGATATATAATGAAATGATTACTTTGTATTTACATAATAACAAAAAAAAATATGTATACATTCTTACGGGATGGAGGGAGTACTGAAAATTAATTTTAAATTCAAAATATTAAATCAACACTTATTTATATCACATCATACAACTACGTCACTTCAAAATTTTTACTATTCAAATTTCAAACTCAAAAACCAAACCTTAGTAAAAGAATTTAACATTGTATATTTGAATGTTAGAACAGAATTATTAGCTTTCAAACAAATAAGAGGAGTGTGTTATTATAAATGAACAATAAAAATAAATTGTTGAAAATAAAATATACAAATATGATTTTGATATTTTGTTACTTAATTATATCAATTTAATTAAGAATTTAAAAAAATAAATAAAAGCATTATTTTCAAATCATTTTTTTTAAATATATACATAGTTAAAAAAATCAAACTTATATCCAATCATATTGAGATAAATTATAACTATATACTATTGACTTATAAAATAAATAACTTATTTTTTAGTTTTATATTTTAATTTTCAAAGGAATAATATATGTATAAATTATTTATCTGCGTATTGAATATCATTTTGTATATTAATTAATTTATAAGCTATCGTGTTTTTAAGATTTTTGTTTACTAATAAGATTTTCAACTAAATTATAATTTTAAAAAATTGTCTATAAAAATATGTACTTAAATTATTGTTTTAAAAAAAAAAAAAAACCTTAAAATGATAGTTACATGTTAATAAAATTTGACTTTATAATATTAGTAGATATCAGTAATATTATATATGGATATCATTTTTGTAATATCTATATTTGGTCATAAAATCTATCAATATCCAATATTTAGAACCTAAAAAATTAATCGTGTAAAATATTTTGATTTATTCAAATGATTTTTCATATTAAAAAACTATATATTTGATAATAGTAATTAATTTTAACAATCCAATAAAAAAGAATATTCTTCCAAAAATATAAATTTGAATAGACATTACTAATATTATATAGAGATCCAAATAATATATAATTAAATTATACTTTTAAATAAAAACTGAAACAACATTACAAGTTAATAAAATTTGACTTTAGTTTTGTTTGAAATTTTTTTTTTGTGTGTTTACTAATAAGATGACTTTATAATATGAGTAGATATCATTAATATCATATATAGAATTTATTTTTGTAATATCTATATTTGATCCATAAAATCTATCAATATTAAATATTTAGAACATTAAAAATTTATTGTGTAAAATTTTTGATTTATTCAAATAATTTTTCATATTAAAAACTATATATTTGATAATAATAATTAATTTTAACAATTCAATAAAATTTATAATCACACCGTGCATCGCACAGCTCCCCTCTAGTATGGGTATATATATAGAACATCAAAGTATTTTAGTAGTGCCGTGGGTTTATATAATACTTATATGGATATACATATATATATATATATAACATCAAAGTATTTTAGTAGAGTAAGAAGTGCTAGTGGGTTTATATAATATTTATATAGGGATATATATAACATCAAAGTATTTTGTATCTTTTAATATTAAAATAAAGACATAAATATAAATAGAGAGCTTAATATCAATTTATTATGTGTAAAAGAGATTTAAAGTCAATTTGTAATAAATTTAATTATATATTTTGTTAAATTTATAGTAATTTATAGAGCATATGATATTATTTGAAAATTTTACCATAAATATAAAATATAAAAATAATATTTTGAGTATATATACAAAATCTAAAATATTACCTATATATACCGATTTAATATAACTATTTGCTTTTGCATTAAATTTAAGGAATAGTAATACTTATTCATAACAATTGTTATATTGAGTTTGAAGACATGTTTATGACATATGTTTATTTATAAAAAAAAATATTAAAGGATATTATTGTAAATGTATTAAAAATTTTAAAAATATTATATTATAATAGAGATTAATAAAAAGAAAAATAAATATATTTACAGTTGACAATCAAATAAAACAAAGATAAAATATTAGTCTTGAACTGGAGAAAGTAAAACACAAACATCGAAAGTTCGGTTTGCATATTTGTATGATAGGATAGCTAGTTATGCCATACATGCATAATAGTTATGTACGCAAAGTGATTTAAGACATGATGCTTAGTGATAGTATTACATAAGTTAGGTTTTGTTTACCGTTGGATCCTAAAATTCGAAGGTTCCAAAATAGTTTGTCGATTTATCGGTGTGGGTTCCAGAAGTACTCCAAAGAGTCTGTCCATCGTCGGATTTTGGGCGGCTCCTTCGGTGGAGCCTGCACGGCTTCGAGCCTAAGCAAGACTTCGAGCCTAAACGATCGATTTCGATGAATTTAAACTAACATCTACTAAAACTTCGATAAATCTACTGGAAAGCGGATAAAAAAAAAACATGTAATTCGAATTAAAATGCATAAAACAAAATTAAAACATGAAAAGAAAATAGAGAAAAATATGAGTTCATCTTCTTGTGCATCTGTGTTATGTGGTTTTTTTTAGTTTTAATCGTAAGATAGAATAACCGCTTCTTCCCACTAAAAGAGGCGGTTCCAATTATTCCTCCACTACTCTTAACTGTCTGGTAACCTCCCACTACTACCTCCAACTACCTCGTATCCTTCTATCAGCTCCTAACCACCTGGTAACTTCCTTCCATCAGCTCCTAACCGCTTCCATTGCTTCTAGACCGGGTTCCACTTACTCTGAACTTCCTCCATTTCCTCTGGACCAAATCTGCCGCTTACTCTGACTTGTATCCCCCATAACCTCGAGTTAAATAAAATCTTCGGTTTTCCTCTTGTTGGCTTGTTCCATGGAGCTTTTTGAATAAAGTATGAAAGTGCATAGGCCCTCCACTAATGTTAAGTACGAAATTATTAACCCAAGGCCAACGGAGGTAGTTATCCCATGATCTGTGGAAGCTGTTGCTTTCTATCTTATGGAGGCAACCTTCCTCTGGTTTGTGGAAGCATCGCAGTCCAATTGAGGTAGTTGTTTTCAACTCAATGGAGACAACACTTTCTGACCTTTTGGAAATATTGTTCCAGGATGAAGGCGTCATAGTCCAAGGAGTTGCTGCCCTAAGGTCCATGGAGGCTGCTGGTTTCGGCCCTGTGGAAGCACCATAATCCAATGGAAATTGTTGCCTTCGGCTCTGTGGAGGCAACAGTCTTTGGCTCCGAGGCTTGAAAATCCATTGCTGTTGAGCGGCTCCGTGGCCAATGAGCTCTGGCTCCACTTTTATCTTTGAGTCTCCTTCACGTTGAGGTACTTTTGAAATTCTTTTTTGCCTTATTTATTAACATTTTTTCCTTTAAAAGAAGTTTTAAATGAAAAAAAGTATTTAGTAACAATTTTTTTCTTCAAATTTTTTTATTTCAAATACTTATTTAAATTTGAAATTACATTATATGTAAAATCTATTTTTTATTCAAAATATCGAGTTATTTTATTTATTTATTTTGATATGAGTTTGATTTTTTTTTAAATTTTAATTCACTCAATATTGAATGACACAATCTTCTATAAATATTATTAAAAATATAATATCACTACAAAAAAATAGTATATTTGTAACGGAATTATGTTCCTAAAGTGTACGTAGTTAACGTAATTTCATCCCTAATTCCGTCTCTAATGTCATTAGTAATGGAAAAAATAAATTTAGGGATAAAAAAACTTCGTTACAAAAATGATATTTTCTTGTAGTGATATAGATTCATTCACCTACAAAATACCAATATAAAATAAAAATTTTATATTACAAACACAATTTTTCGTATTTAATATAAAAAATTATTCAGTCAAAAATACAAATAAATACCCCTTATATTTTTATTAAAACTGAATTGATTGAAATATTCTTTATTTGAATAAAATAAAATAAAATACAAACTCATCATATTCAAAATTTATTTACATTATATCATAAACAGTAAAGTGGGTGAATATAAATCCAGTAGTTCTTGGTGAGACTTTTTTTTAAAAAAAAAACCAACAAAAGAAAGTGGATGAATATAAATCCAGTAGTTCTTGGTGAGACTTTTTTTTAAAAAAAAAACCAACAAAAGAAAATATAATTCTTAATCTATATCATTCGAAATTATACTTACCTAGCAACATTACTATTTACACATACTTATATAGCGCGGTGGTACGGGGTGAAATATATGACTTTATTCAAACTTCGACAGTCTTTAGGTTTTGCTTACAATACATAGTTCGTCTAGTATTACTTGTTTTCTGGGATATAGTTTGCAAGTTATTAGATTCGGTCAGCTGTTTACAGATAACAATTATTAAAAAAAAGAAAAAAAAAATAAGAAAAGTTTACTTAGGATATGTTTGTTTGGGATTTGAATTTTGGGTTTAAGAATTAAATAATACACAATTTTAAGTGAAATAGTTTTATGATGCTATATATAAATCGATGTTGATATAATGTTTTGAATATAAAATTGATTTTAATTATAATAAAAAAAATAAAAATAAAAATTTAATTTTTTATTTTTAAAGATTAAAAGAAATAATAAAAATTTTGTAAAATGTGACTAAAAAAAAAAAGCACACCTTTACAGTATTATTTATAAATTTTTTCACAAACTTCAAAAGTATGGTCAAAATAAAATCTGTACATTTATTATCCCAAATAAATATAATGAAAATATGTTTTAGTATGTACTTAATTATATTCAACCAAATATATAAATAGGCCATAATTGAAATTTCTATAATAACATTAACATTTAAAGCGTCAACCCATCAAATGGAGTCAGCAGGGCCCGGACCACAACGACAAACCGTGCCTATTGAAAAGGAAGTCAGGCAGGCAGGCAGCCATTTTCCGTCAGTCCTCAGAGTCAGAGAGGTCACCATTTCTTCAATCAGTCAGGCCCATCAATGGCGGAATCCTCCTCCGCGGTCCTCGTCGTCCTTCTCTACCTGGTGCACTCATTCTCCTCCGCCGCCAGCCCAAGCCCAATCAAGACAGTGGTGGTGCTGGTGATGGAGAACCGGTCGTTCGACCACATGCTGGGATGGATGAAAAAGCTGAACCCGGAAATCAATGGCGTGGACGGCACTGAGTCGAACCTGGTGAACTCGTCCGATCCGCACTCGACTAGGATCACCTTCGGCGACCAGTCGCACTTCGTTGATCCGGACCCGGGCCACTCCTTCCAGGCGATCCGGGAGCAGATATTCGGGTCCAACATCACCACCACGGCACCGCCGCCGATGAACGGCTTCGCTCAACAGGCTTTCTCCATAAACCCTAATATGACTCAGGCCGTCATGAACGGATTCCAACCCGATAAGGCATCTTTTTCCCTCTCTCTCCCTCTCTCTCTCTCTCTCTCTATATATATAATATATCTATAATGCAATTTTGGTAGATGAGTTTCTTTGGAAGGGTATTTATTGAATAAAACCCTAAACAATGACAAATAGTGTGTTTATTTTGTACACTTTTTTTAGTTAGATAGTAAATTTAATATGCTATTAATTTATGATAAACCAAAAAATGTAATTTTTATATGGAATTTCAAATTAAAAACTTTGATATATTTTTTTCTCAAACTTTTATTGATTTTTTTTTTTTCAAAAAAGTTAAATACTCGATAATATTTTATTAGTTAGTAAAAGCGTGTAAAATTTTTTTATGTTTTTGGTGTTTAATTTTATATGTAAAGTAATTGTATATGTAGTAATATATTTGTAATTTAGGTAAAAGTTGAAAGATATTTTGATATTAGTATATTATTAATTTTTTTAAAACAGTAAAAAAGAATATTTGAAGTGAAACAAAAGAAAAATATAAAAAGAATACATATTGTAACAATCTTTTTATTTAAAAGAAAACAACCAAAATTAAAACACAAACACAACCTTTAATTATTTCTTTAAGTAAATTAAATCTAGGAATATGTGTAATAATCTTAACATCTTATTCTTTTATTGCTGTAATAATCTTTCAATTATAGAATTATGTTTGTAATATTTTTATACATGTTAGTTTGTTCAATCTCTTCCAAATTAAATTTGACGTTATATATCGCAAATTGTCCGACGAGGGTTTCAATGCATTAATTAACTTAACCGATGGGCAGGTCCCAGTCTACAAATCCCTAGTATCAGAATTCGCGGTGTTCGACCGGTGGTTCGCCGCCGTGCCGGCGTCGACGCAGCCGAACCGCCTGTACGTGCACTCAGGGACGTCGTACGGCGCCACCTCGAACAAGCCGGAGCTGCTGCTCAAAGGCTACCCGCAGCGCACAATTTTCGAGGACCTCGACGACGCCGGAATATCCTTCGGAATATACTCCCAGAGCATTCCGGCGACGCTGTTCTACAAGAATCTCCGGAAGGTAAAATACCTCTTGAAATTCCGGTCGTACGGACTGACGTTCAAGAGCGACGCGAAGAAGGGTAAGCTCCCGGGGTACGTGGTGGTGGAGCAGCGGTGGATGGACAGCCTGACGGCGCCGGCGAACGACGACCACCCGTCGCACGACGTGTACGAGGGGCAGATGCTGGTCAAGGAAGTGTACGAGACGCTGAGAGCCAGCCCGCAGTGGAACCAGACGGCGCTGGTCATCACCTACGACGAGCACGGCGGCTTCTACGACCACGTGCCCACGCCCAACCAGGGCGTGCCCAGCCCGGATGATGTCGTCGGCCAGGAACCCTTTTATTTCCGGTTCGACCGCCTGGGAGTTAGGGTTCCCACCATTGTCGTCTCACCATGGATCAAGAAGGGCATCGGTACGTTACGTAAGACCCTTAATTACATTACATATATACCTCGTTCTGATTGATATACATATATTGCATGATTTTTAAATTATATATGCATAATTGCTTTTAGGTTACTTGTAGTTTGGATTCATATCCCTAATTTAAAAATCTCACAATTTTCTTTGTATTATAAAAGAATATTATACAAAATCATTTAAAATGTGTGTTGTGTCAATCAATTAGTTAAGTTCAGACATTTGTGGATTTTGAATAATATATTTTTTTAAAAAAATACGAGAAAATCTTACAGATTTTAAAATATGAAAGGAATAAGTCAAAAAAATCATAAACAATTTTGTCAAATATATGTTATATATAGCAAATGTGTGTGTTAATTAGAGCTAAATGTTAATTAGAGCTAAAAATCTTAATGCTATATCTGATATGCTTTAATATTATAAATATATATAGAGTGTTTATATATATAGATTTTCAATTAGATTGCTAAACTATTGACCTGTTATTGTTTATATACTACTCCCTCAGTCTTACGTTCGATGTTCTAATCACGGTAGACACAATAATTTAGGATAAGTATAATTAGTAATAATTAAAAATATATTAGTGAAAATAATTAAGACACAATAATTTAGGATAAATATAATTAGTAATAATTAAAAATATATTAGTGAAAATAATTAACTTATAATATAATCATTATAGATTAAGATTGATATAACTAATTAGTTTATTAAAATTTTAAAAATTTAAATAAAAAATTTAAAATGAGATTGTGTAATTATTTTTAAAAAAATGAAAATGATAAAGAGCATGTGAGACCGGTAACTTGGACATGGCAGGTAAGACAGAGAGAGTATTACACTTTCTTCGATTTGAATAAGCAATTATATAAATTAACTTTCTATAAGAGTATATTTGTGCGTGAACCCTTCATAGAAGTAGTCGTTAAGCTAAAATTGCTGCAGTTGTACACGGCCCGAACGGTGTGCCGACGGTGACATCGGAATACGAGCATTCGTCGATTCCGGCAACGGTGAGGAAGATATTCAATCTGACATCTTCGCCTCTGACAAAGCGGGAGGCCTGGGCAGGCACCTTCGACACCATCTTCACTACGCTCGCCCAGCCCAGAACTGATTGTCCCGGTACTAAAGCCATTTCATTCCATTCTTTACTGTCTTCTTCAACCATTTCTTATATATAGTTAGGTATTCTTACATTACATTCTCAACAGAGCAGCTCCCGACACCGGTCAAAATCCGGGCGGGAGGGCCCAAGGAAGATGCCAAATTAAGCGAATGGCAGCAAGAAATCCTGCAGCTGGCCGCAGCGATCAAAGGGGACGCCGAGCTGACAAGCTATCCTCATAAGATTGGTAAGAACATGACAGTAAAAGAGGCCAAACTGTATGTAGAAAATGCAATGAAGAGCTTCGTCGAAGCTGGCAAAGCTGCCAAGAAAATGGGCGTCGACGAAGAACAGATTGTAAAAATGAGGCCCTCTTTGAATTCTCAGACAACACATCCCTGATAGCTAGAGGCAAATTCAGCCTGTGTAACATGTCAATTGTGCTGAAAAAAAGAAAATACAAGAACCGTGATCTGAAGGAATAAATGAAATGTGTTTTCGACATTTCCATGCCTTTCAGAACATAATACGCACACAAATAATAGTCGAATCCATACAGGAACATATTTGCAAAAAAATATGTTGTTTCCCATACGTTAGAGGTTCTCAAAGGGATCGGAGCTTAAGAAAACAACAGAAAGGGATATATTGTTTTTTCTACTGTGTATTTGTTAACGTAATTATGATATTTTTGAGTGTGGTTGGAAGAAAATCAGTTTGGTGATTAATTGTAGGAGTATTTGAAAAATAATAAACATATTTTGAATTTGTACTTTCATTTAGTTTCTATTTTGTGTCCAACATTTTTTTTGTGTGTATTAAGTGTGTCATTTCATTCTATATATATATATATATATATATATATGTATATTTTCTAATTCGAGTGAATTCTAGAAAATCAAGAAATATAGTGTGTTGTTCTTCATCCTTGCATATATCTTGTGTATTTTTCTATAATTTTTATTTCTAATTTAGAAGAGTAGCAACACTGTATTAGAGATTAGAGTGTTATATTATGCCCAAATATGTCAAGGAAAGACATGACTTTGGTGTGTTGTAGCATTGTTCCATGCTAACGTCTTCGAATCACACTACTTGAGCAATCCGAATGAAAGCTATTTTGAATGCACAAGGGCTAGGGAGTCCATCAAACTACCGGATGACACAAATGTGAACGTGAAGAGCTTTCATTTTTTGAAGGATCACCGGAGGATATACTACATGTGACCAAGAAGACGGCAAGAATGCGGCATGCTTGAGACTGATCGAGTGCAGAAGGCTCGATTACACGTTGAAAATTGAGTTTGAGGCTATTCAAATGAAGTACAGGGACACTATCGATGATTTAACCAAAAATTGAGTGGGATGATTTCCAGATATAATAACCTTGGGCCGACACTTGAGGATAGTGTTCTAGTGAGAAAATTTCTTAATTCATTTACCGACAAGTACCTACAATTGGTAGCATCAATTGAACAATATTCAAATATGGACTCCGTGTCGTTCGATGAGATTATCAGTAGATTAAAGGCTTATGAAGATAGATTATGATTTTGAACTTGTAATGAAAGTGTTGATGTAGTGTTGGTTGAGGCAAAATCAATTGGAAATGAGATTGTGGTAAAAAAAAATAAAAAAATTACAAGCCTAGAGATAAAAAGGAACACATTACATGTTCTACTTGTGAAAAATATAACCATTATGCATCCAAATTCAAAGCGGCAAAAGAGAAAAAGAGGCGAAGTGAATTTGGCTCAAATACAAGAAGAACAACCAGATTTTTTACTCAACATATATGGATATATAAAAAAGAATAGGTTGGTGTTGTTGAATGAGAATAATGTATGTCCTAGTACATTCGAAGGGACTGGAAGAATAGAGGAGATGTTTAGTTCCTTGATAATGGTACAAACAATCATATAATTAGAATTCAAAGATTCTTTATAGAGCTAGATGAAAAATCCACTGGTGACATCCGTCTTGGGGATGGTTCTAAGGTTCAGATCGCAGACAAATGGTTTATGATGGTGAAGTGCAAGAATGAAAAAGAACTCATCTCAGATATATTTTATCCCAACTTTAGATAGTAATATTTTTAGTCTTGGATGGAGGACTGAATTAGGATACAAAACCAAGATGATGAATGAGTTATTAACGATTTAAGATGATATTGGTTGTCTAATTATGTTGGTGGAACGGTTGAGAAATCTATTACATAAGATTGCACTCCAGACTACTCAACATGTTTGTCTAATGGTGAATCTCGATATTAAAGTATAGATGCGGCATGCTTGATTGGCTCATGTGATTTTTCATACGATTGAAGGAATGGTTTGAAATTAATTGATTCGAAATGTTCCCATTATACAACATTCTATACAAGTTTGCGAGGGATGTATGATTGCAAAACAATTGAGATACATTCTCAAAAGAAGCTTAATAATGGGTGAGTCAACCTCTTGAGTTTGTTTATATTGATCTATGTGCTTCAATATTTCCCTCAATGGTGTTAGGTAACTGATACTTCATGTTAATACTCGATAAAAAAAACATCGATGAAGCTATGGTTTACGGACTGATGGGTGGGGGGATTTACCTTTAAAAAGATTTATTCAATTTTTTTAAGAAAAAGGTATTTATAGGAAACTTACAACCTCTTACCCCCCCAAAAAATGGTGTGTGGCAGAGTTTCATAATAGAAGCATTTTTGAAGTAACAAGGTCATTATTATGAACAATGAATGTGCCAGATATAATGCGGGGCGAAGATGTTAGACATGCTATGTACATAATCAACCAAATTCTAACCAAAATGATGAAAGGGATGACACAAGATTAAGGTCTCAAAGGATTTATGCAAAAATTTGAACACCTAAAGTTATTTGGGTGCGTTGAAATGTAAAGAAGCCGATTGATCAGGTCTTAAAGCTTAGCAAGCACATTACTTCAAATTTTATGTGGGTGTTGAATCAGGTTCTAAAACCTACCAAATTCTTAATCCACATGAGCAGAAGGTGGTGGTTGTTCGTGATATCATTTTTCATAAAAAAAAAAATTTGACCCAAGCACACATGGAAGAGACATACAAAAAAATACGGGTTAATGATTTTTTATTCATATCCCGTAGGATGAAGTACCAACCAATACCACCATCAAACATCATCTTGAACCTATTGTTGAGCATACTGATGGAATTTCAGTAGCAGCTCTAAATGTAGCTTCATTGGGTGAAAACAGTGGAACAAGTGCGGACTCTTCGGCATATGAACACACACTTATTAAGGGCTTTAGAAGTTTGATCGATATCTAAAGTGAGACAAAATATATGGAAGCTGAATCAGATGAATTGATGTTTGCAGGTGTTGAACCTACAACATACATAGAGGCTACAATTATTCGTTTGTTGTAGGAAACAATGAAAGCATAATTATGTTTATTGAAAAACTCATACTTGGAAGCTCACAACTATTCTACACGGCTATAAGTCAATCAGACATAAATGAGTGTTTAAAGTAAAGAAAGATGTTGATGGAAATATGTTTATATAAAAAGTTCATTGAAAAAAAAGGGGTACGTTCAACGTAACGGAATTGATTTTGAACATCTTTGCACCGGTGGCTTGATTGGAACCTATAGTTTTTATGAAAAGGCGTGTGGTCCATCACCTTGACATGAAGTAGATTTCTTGAATGGAGAATTTTAAGAAGAAGTATATGTCTCAACTTGATGGTTTTTTTTATATAAAAAAAAAAAGAGCATATGGTAACCCGTCTATACAAAGCCCTTTATGGCTTGCGTCAAGCGCCAGAAAATATGAACATACGTCTCGACAAGACACTCAAAGATTTGGACTTTACAAAATGTTCACAAGAGCAAGTGGTGTATAAGCTTCATTATTCAAAATTAATTTTGATAGTTGACATATATGCGGATGATTTCATTGTCATTGGATCAAGTAAATACCAATTAACTCGATTTAATGAAATATTACATTAGGTGTTCAAGAGAAATGACTTAGGGCTGCTGACTTACTACTTGGGAATAGAAGTGTGGCAAAATAAGAAATGCATCGAGATAAGTCAAGTCGGGCATGCAAAGAAAATTCTAAAAGCAACTAAAATATGAAACAATCCAACAAATTGGCCGATGGATGAAAAATCTAGTTTACCGAAGGATGAGGAAAACACGACACACATGTGAAAGCAATAGGTTATCGCTTAATTATTGTCCATCTTCGATACTTGATTCATACAAGTACAGACCTCTCTTATTCAGTTGTGGTCCCTAGTCGATATATGAGCACTCTAAAAGAAAACACCTGAAGGTAGTGAAACTAATACTTCAATATTTAAAAGGTACAATATAATGAGGTTTTGCATACACAAGAAGAGGCGATAGAAGTTACTAGGCTAAAGTGACATAAGCTGCATAATGAATTTCGATTATATAAAGGGCACCACCAGAATAATATTTTACTTTTAAAATAATCCAATTACGTGGTTATCTCATAAGCGACACATTATGGCTCTGTCACTTGGTGAAGTAGAGTTTATGGCAGCAATACCGGCTACATGTCAAGCCGTATGGTTAAGGATTTTGTTGAAGGACTTAACTGAATCGAAAAGCTTCAGTGTGAGACTTTTTGTTGATAATAAATTAGATATAACACCAATGAATAATCCAGTGTTTCATGGCCGAAGCAAACACATGGATTCATGCGTGCATGTATTCAAAACAAGATCATTAGTGTGGAGCATAGAAGATCAACAAAAAGAAAAATATCAAAATTAAGGGGGTAAAATATTAAAGTAATTCTAATATTTTTAGTGTGGTCAAAAGAAAACCAAGTTAGTGATTAATGGTATGAGTAATTGAGACATAATTAAACCTTACTGAGGACAAAATAGAATAAAAACTTGGGAAGATTTGATTTTTTGTATCTTCAATCATGATTATAGAATGATCATATGCTTGTATCTAAAAAATTTATCACTAACTAAAGAATCTAATCTAATCTAATCCCTAAAAAACTATTAATCGGTCAAATCAATGAATGGACTAAAGATTATAAATTTACTGTACATAAGGGAATACCTATGAAAGAATTGATTTTTTAAACTTCATCTTTTCCCTTCTTACCTCGATTCTCAGACACCTTTTAGCTATGAACTTCTAAGTCTTTGATATTTTTTATATTTTGACACCTCTCCCTAAACAAGTGTCATCATGCACAACTTAGAATGTATATTTTTTAAACATCAGACTGTATAAAATTCTTGGTGAAGATGTAAAAAGATGTAATTTGCTTCTAACATAATCCAAGGATATGAACCAACCAAGAAGTGGTGTCGGAAAAATTGGTATACAATTTCAATGTTCATTATTCTCACATGAAAGACTGGA